GGCTTCAACAGCCATATACGAGATTTTATCGAGGAAAACCCTAATGTTAATCTAACTAATGCCCAACATTTATAGTAAGTGAGAGTGAGTATTTTATTTTGCAGAAACGTTTACAGAATCCTCCTACGAAATCTTCATTAGATTATTACGAATTTCAGGAAAGCTTAATTGGCAACTTTATGTGAACTGAAGATATGAAAAAATGCTCATTTTACTTTCACATTCTAATTCATAAAATAGGTACAAACGCCAATGTGAAAGGGTTTGGTGTAAATTGGAACCAACAGTCGAGTTCCAAGAATGCGATAGGAAAATTTGGCTTACAAATAAGCCAAAATGTTGAATACATTTTCCTAAAAGAGCTTTGAAATAAATCATAATTAAACTATTCCCAGTATTATGTTTAGTTTTTCAAACAACCAACAAAATTATAGCTTTATTCTCTATTATTGAAGTAAGTCAAAGGGACGGTATCTATTCAAGAGTTTAATAATATTATCGTTTAGAAGGCATACCTTCTAATTGTTTTAGTTTTAAATAGTCTAACCATTGTCAATGCTTTTTTCATTATTTTTATAAGTATTTGCAAGTTTAGTCTATCCATAAGAACTAGCGACCGGCTACCGACAAACTATTTGGCAGATTAGTACAATATGTGTACAATATGTATGTGTGTGTGTGTGTGTGTGTACAATATAAACATGTGTATATTGTTCATATATATATATATATTTCATTTTCTAGCTATGAGAGAAAGAGAGACAGAAAATGTGTGCGCACACTGCTTTCTCTTGCTTCACTTTTCGTAACGCGTAACGCATTCGCCAGCTTACCCACCAAGTCAAGCGTGCATAAAGAAGTTTCACTTCAAAAACACACGATCTAAATCAGTTACTTATACATTTATTGAGATTGTAAGATATTTATATAGATATGTGTATATAGTAGCTAAGTCAAAAATAAAACCCCTTGTTTCAATATTGTGTAAATCAGATTGGAGTATCGGGGACACCAATGGGATCCGATTACCTATGCGTAGAATATTGAAGTATCGAATTGCCTCCTACCTAGTTCGTGTTTGTGTGTATTATTGAGTTTCCTATAAATATACAACAAAACATGAATATGGTATATCTAAGTAATTCAAATGAGGCTAATTTTTTTTGGGTTTAATATAGCACGATGGCAGAAGGTGCAGGTTCGAAACACGTTCGATGTCTGATTTTATTCTAATAAAAGTTTCTTAAAAAAATATCATTAGAATAATTATGATTTATAAATCTAGCAGTTAAAATGATTAAAATTAAAATATTATAAACAATTATAACATGTTAGAGTCTGTGCGGAAAGAGAATGGGCGTGGCGAAAAACGGAACTAATATTAGGATTTTTATTTGGCAATCAAACCCAGCAATCTGTAAAACGTCAAAGTTTTGTATTGATACGGATTTGTTTGTTGTTGTGATTTATTGCGGTTTTTTGTATTTAATCATGTCTTAAAGGGGTAAAATCTTACAAATACGGTAGAAAAGCACTACAGCGCCCTCAAATCTAAATCCCATTCTTTTTCTGCACAGACTGTACAATCATTCCTTTTCGTTAATATTGACAGGTTGTTCGTCCCTTTCACGTGTATGAGTAAGATATGTTGTCAAATGTTTTCCTTAAGCTACAAATTCAAAGTACTACTGGGAAATCTATTTATTATTTATTTTATTCATATAACTCTGTAAATTTTTAAGTAAATGTGAGCCAAACAAAAATATTACTCTTAGCGGCCACTATGTCCCATATAGACAGACGTTTGCAAAAACAGAGCATAACTTGCAGCTTAATTTTCGAATTAGTTTTAGTAAGAGTTTTATTATTATTTCGAACTTAAATTTTATTTATGCAAGACTTCTGAATATTAGATTATAATCATAATACATATCATATACATATACTGTATGACAAAGCAATCAAAACGAAGGTAAATTATTAATATTTAATGTACATTATATAAAGAAACGTGTCTTCATGAATGAAGTAATTTTTTAATTTGACGACTATGTAAATAATACAGGGAGATAAAAACAGCCCTTGCTGAGTTTCTTACCGGTTATTCTCAGTGCAAGGTCTCAGGGCCGGATTTAGAGGTCCAGAGGCCTCGGGGCAACAGAGGAGCGGCCCCCTCACCCCAAATTACTTTCCAAATAAAGTAAACAATTTTTTTTCAGTCGAGTTTTTCAATAAATAATTTATTGTGAACCAAGTAGATTCCCTCAGTATTGAACAAACACATATAAATATAAACGGAAACAAGAATTATCTGAAATTAAATCTTAGAGTTAACGAACGGAACCTTTCGAGCTTTTTTCGCCGAAAAATCGTTGATGATTTCGATTTTTTTTCCGAAGTCTCTATTGTGGGGGCCCCCCGTTTGTGGAGGCCCCGGGGCTTTCGCCCCGGTTGCCCTCCCCTAAATCCGGCAGTGTAAGGTCTCCCGCCGTAGATTTGCGAACCGATAGCGTAGCTTCAGACACTCATGACCGCGTGTAACAGCCTAAACTAAATAAATTACCTATTTTAAGTTCGAGAATCATTTATTACCAAATTGATAAAAGGTGTAGAGCCCTTTACACCTAACCACGTAATAGTACCAGCTTTCTTCTCGTATTTTCTATGGGTATTTACTTAACCTAATCGACTGTATCGGTGTACCTCTTTATATCTAACCATGAGCGATTTAATTTTCAAAGGCACATGAAAGGGTCAAAAGGGACCGTATAGTATGTAAATGAGTCCAGGGTGTGAGAGCAAAGAGTTATTATTACACAGCACAGGGGGTAACAGACCCAAACTATGTATGTAGATGTAATCATATTGCGTGCGGCAAGGGGCACAATCAAATTATACGTAATTGTCGTCGTGTTACGTTCATTTTGACGGCAAACTCGATGAAATTGGAAAATGAAAATTCGGATTATTGGTACATAGCATGTCGATAAAAATATTCCACTTGAAGACAAGAGTGTCCATTTCGTGTTGTGATTGCGCTTTGGAACGAAGTTTTGACGGACTTGGCGGACTTGGCGGATAGGGGCTAAGCGAAAGAAAAGTGTTACATTTTTTCCATCACTAGCATCAGTTGTTGTCGGTGCATATTGTGCCCTTAAACTTTTTTTTTATAGCATTTTATAGTTTATTTTTTACTTCGTTACACGACACTCAAGTTTTATTATGAAGTGAAACTTCTTTACGACTTGGGGGGAAAACTGGCGAATGCGTTACTCGTTACGAAAAATGTGTTCGGGCGAGGTGAAAAGGAGTTGAGTGAAGGATATAAGCAAGAGAAAGCAGTGCGCGCGCACATTTTCTTTCTCTCTTTCTCTTACAGCTAGTAAATGAAATATGTATATGTACATACATGAAATATATATACAGGGCGTACCACGGCTACCTCACACGGAGGGAAAGTGTATTAAATAACGAAGTTAGGATATTTTACTGAAAGAAGACATCCTTTAATTTTTAATAATGACTAGAACTGCATTCACAGATTTTTTTAAAATAGCCTGTTACAGCTGGGAATCAAACTCATTATTTTTTTTTTCATTTAAAATGCTATGCTATTTAGCAAAAAATAATCCTTATAATGAACCTTTTCTATGGTTATCTTAAAATATACCGTGTTTTTTTTTCGAAATTTTACGAGTTTGATTCCCAGGCGATTTTTAAAAAATCCGTGAATGCAGTTCTTATTATTATTAAAAATAAATCGATGTGTTCTTTCAGTAAAATATCCTATCTTCAATATTTAATATACTTTCCCTCCGTGTGAGGTAGCCGTGGGACGCCCAGTATATATATACACATATATATATATATATATATATTGTACATACAGATGGAGCTAAAGAAGTTACACTTCAGTCGTGTGGTCATAAGCACACTCGTTTTTGCTTTATTCAAAGTTTTTTAAGTAACTAGACATCAAAGCAGATGGTATGATAGTGACAGTAGGTAAGGATGTCTTGACAACGATGATCTAGATAAATTAACTGGTGATATTTAATTTTATATTATACAAGAAGAACTTCCGGGGACCAATTCTCGCGGCGTAGATATTATATCACCTTCGATATATATCAAATGAACTGGATTTTATCGAAGGAAAACCATTTGCCCTATTCTCACCATGTCGCAATAGATATTTATCTACGGATGATCAGTAGACATACATCAACTGGTAAAGAGCCTTCGTTATATAAATATCTACGGATTTTGGCTTGTCAATCTTGTCATTTTCACTTTTTTACCTATTATTTATTCTGTGTTGTCGTGTGTCATTGCCAATGTTATTTTACTGAAATTTCCAGTTTCAGTTATGGTGAATTAAACTAGATACAAAGAGAAATTATATGTGTCATAAATTTCCCACTTATTTTATACCGTTACAAATAATAGTGACAAATAAAGTTATGAATGACGTTTTCTTATTGACGTTTCATTATACTTAACGTTGAAATTATATACGCATACAATTTAAGTAAAGTTGAGATTTCTTACACTCAAAAAATGTATACTCATATTTAATATGAATGGCATTCATAAAATATATTCTTTTTGCTTGTAAAATACTGCTTTAATTTATTATAATATTGTATCGACTATGATGTTAACTTAATCAACAAAAACGGAACTCATTCGTCAGTGAACGAAATGTCTACGATAGATATAATATCATTAGAATATCGAAAATCCACGAGAATAGACTCTTTTGCCTTCAGTCGATATTTTCAATAGATATTCCTACTTTCGATATTATCTCGAAGCCGATATAATATCTACGCCGCGAGATTTGGGGCCCTGTTCTTGATTACAACCAGAACATGGTTTTACTCAAGAGAAGAAGTCCATAATCTGGTCATTAGGTTTAATAAGATAAAAATAACACGACGTGTATTCGTCATTTATTTCCTTTGATTCTATTTCTCGGCACAAAAGTAAGCCACTACCTACACGGCTTTGTTTTCCGATCGCATCGGTAAACCATCGTGCCCTCCGGCTGATCCCGTTAACGGTCTGTGTTTCGTTCAAAGCGGAATATATTTTTTTCCAAAGAAAACTGTGTTTTATCTACCTAAGATTTACAACTCGTAGCGTTATTACTCGCCGTCCCACCCGCCTGTTGTATCTACGTGTTCAAGTTTTGTAAATTACTTAATTAGCATAAAATGTCTGTAAGTAATTTATAACATGGAAGAGAAACATTTTGCGTAATTATTCTGTAACGGTGATCACAACGTATATAAAAATATATAAATAAGATGGTCGATAATTAATTAGATGCCTCAATCACGTTTTATGTTTGAATACAATTGAATACAATTAGCAATCTAGTAAATATACTTCTGGACCTAGGGTTATAAGTTTCAGCGGTATGTAGCAAAAATATGTGTTTGGTTGAGCAATAATAAAAAAAAATCACAAAAAGATGATTAATAAATCATCTTCAAACTGCGTAGGTGATAAGTTTTTGCTCCATCTTACATTTATTTTGGCTAGAGAGCACAAAAACTGAAAATCTGATAAAATACATATAAAAACATATTAATATAGAAATACATATTAAACATCCATGACTGGACATATGCTCGTATTCATCACACACCTGCCCCCACCGGGATTCGAACCCGGGACCTCTCGAGTCGGCGACAGCTATTCGTCAAAACTATAAGATATAAACTTTACATAATGCGTAATTACTTTACAATTTTTAATATTAGACGACCTCCGTGGCCGAGTGGTATTCATACGCCGGGTTTCATGGTGTTGCCGTCTCGAGAGGTCCCGGGTTCGAATCCCGGTGGGGGCAGATGTTTGTGTGATGAATACGAGTATTGGTACTCCAGTCATGGAAGTTTAATATGTATTTCTGTATAAATATACTTATATATGTACAGTATATGTATTCTATCCGTTACCCTGGTATCCCATAACACAAGCCTTACAGTGCTTACTTTGGGGCTAGGCTAATTGGAGTGAGTCTTGGAAATATTTATTAATTTATTAGCCAAAAAACAAAATCGATTCAACATCACCGATTGTAATTTAGAGTTCTTTTTTTTCTATGCAAAAAATATCTCAAATTTTATATGGCTACGTACCTAAATGTCACTGAGAAAAAGTTCGGTCGTAAAGTGATTGGTCTTAAGAAATTACAACAAAGAATAAGAAGAGCTTTGAAAAATTGGCGCAGATAAGTAATTTATATCCGGCTTTATCATACTCTCGTACTTCAAAGAACCGTTCAATAAAAGTTTTAAGACTACGAGACTCGTCGTTACCTTGATTAGAAAAATAATTAAACATCTTAGATTTGGAGATTAAATTTATCTTAATCTGTGTACATGTACATGGAAAATTATTTAAAAAATCAACTTACCAATAGTAGTGAGCGCCAACGTGCACCAATAATAACTTTGTAGATACTGTTTCACCACATCCGCGGTTTCAGTGTCATGATACACCCAGTTTTTACTACCAAAACCATTGTTTTTATATATTATATGGTACAAGCACCCATTCCAATGGAATATCACTAACAAATAATGAATTAAACTCGTGGACCTAAATAAGTTCGGGTAGTTTGTATGCCGTTCAGTTCGGTCCATGAACGCCCAAAACCGGTAAATTTTCACTAAACGAAAGGAGCGCAGTATTGAATTGAATCCGATGGAGAGGTAGAGGAAGTCCAACGGCAGCAGACAGAGACAGTCGATGTAGAACGTCGTAGAGTTCATGTAGTGCGCTCTCAGCTTGGCCGCGTCCGTTTGTAGGACGCCATCTTCTAAATACCCAGTGCGGAAGTGGAACAAGATGTCCGCCAGATAGAGGAAGTCCGAAAAGTAGTCCAGACAGAACCACACTATTAGCGTTTCGCCTGAAACAATGAGAGAATATTATGTTATAAAATGTTCGGAAATATAGGAGATGGATCAAATTTGTATGAAGGGTGGTAATCAGTCTCCGGCCGACTCCAAATTTTTATGTGATGTAGTGCATGCACTTAACAGGGCAATTGTAAATTGTTTGATAAAAACATAGAATTACTTCATCCCCGTTTTTTAAAAAAATAATTATTAGAATATAAAATTATATAATTATTGATTGGCAAATGGCAAGTTTATTGAACTATGTTTTGTTCCCAAAGCATGAAATACATGCTATTTAAAAGGTAACTAAAGCATTGATAATTATTCTGTTCACCTTTCATTACATTATTAGGTATCTTATTTCAAAATAATTCAATCATTAATTGGTATAGTAAGTTCATTACGATTTCACGAATATCAAGCATGGTTCATATTCACAAACTGATTAAGTTGACGTTATAAGCTGCCACACGCTAAAAATATGAAGTTACTTATATTGGGTGGCCAGCATTCTTACAAAATTGTTTAATTTACAAATACGGTTTAAAATTAATCGAAGATAAATAAAAATAATCTATTCATGTTATAATATGCTAACAAGTTTTCAAATGATAATTGTTTCGTCGCTGGCGTAAACTGACCACATCTTTTGATCTCTCTCTCCTTTGAAATAAAATTAGTTAGTTAATTTTAATGCATTAGATTGTTACTCGTCTTCTCATTGCACCAAGTAATATGAATACTTTTTGTTATATTTTAAAGTGAAACTTTTATTATAAGAAAAGTTAGTACGCCACAATTTTTGTACCATGTCGCAATAAATTTTTTAAAGGTTACAAAAAAAACAGATCTTATCAACAAGCATCAGTGGTTAAGTAGTAGAAAACTCGCATTCTACGCGGGATGCCTGGGTTCGAATCCCAGCTGAAGAACTCAATTTCAAAGCCCAAAATCCCTAAGGTGGCTATGGCACTAATTGGTGCGAAAGCATGCCACATCAGTAGACATAATCTCGTACAGAAATTCCACGAATGTGGACGCAAAGGAATGCCACATCGGCAAACTCCATTTCGATTGTTTTACATAGATAGCTTTGTTGCGAATTTTTTAATGGCAAATTTGCGAACTATTGACTCTCCACTAAATGCAATAGTTTTGCTACTTTGAGACGTATGAACAGTAGAAACCAATGTTTTTTTCTTTCTAAAAATCCCTTTTTTGGGAATAAAACAAACGTTGAAAGCAGAAATTTGTTTTCTTATCTTTAATCAAATTTAATGGTTTTTCCTTTGATAAAAACTTTATGAGTTAACCCAACAAGAATTAGTACCAATTTCAAGACAAAACTGAAAACTTGATAAGGGTTTTTGAATCAGATTACGCATCGGATTCGTCTCACCCAAAGAAAGTGTGAATCGTGTTGGAACAATGCATAAAACTGTAATGGGAAGGTTGTCCTTAAAAATTAATGTTTCTTTTTATTTCAAATTCTAGAACATGTTTTTAATATGTTAATATAATTATTATAGTCGTATTGTGTAGTATATAGTAGTATACCTAGTATAATATTATAGATGATATAGTATAATTATTTGTGTTTTGGAGGAATCTTTCATGATTTCAGGTGATGAATTTCTCTATGATTTCAACTAACTTTAAATAAGCGCTCTACGCGATACTTCATGCTAGGATGCGGGAAAAGCAAGAGAGAGAAATTAATTTACTCTACACTCTTTTGCAAAAAAACGGCACCTAAGGAAATTCACTTCTAATGTCGATTTCACTTAATTTAATAAAATTTAATTGTTTGATGAATTCTGTATACTTATAATCGTATAATTTTTGAAGAATTCTTTAAACCCGATGTGTACGGCCATATAATAAGAAGTGGTCGGCAAAAAACACGAGTTTTTTTTTTACTTTTTTAATAAAATAAAGTTACAAATGGAAAAACCTAATAACGAAGTGTGACCTTCTCTTGCCAATATCACAGCTTGAATCTTTCTGGGCATGCTTTCCACGATGTTTTTAATAACGTTTTGAGGAATACGTTCCTACTCTTCTGCAATGACATGAATTTTAGCTCCCTGATGTTTTGTGGAGCAGGTTGCACTGATCTTACCCATCTCTTTAGAATATCCCAGACATGCTCAATTGGATTGTGGTCAGGACTTCGCTGACCAATCTAAATGACGGATCCCAACTTCTTGAATTTTTTACGCTTCCACGCCGCCAGAACGGTGCGGGAGAGTATTATCGTCCATAAAAAAGAGAATCTTTCTCTAATGCAGCCAATGTAGGTTGGGATGGATTTATGACTTCCGTTATCTACCGGTGTGCATTTAATGTACGCTCCGTCGCATTAATCGCTGCCCAAAACATAACGGAAACTCCGCCAGAAGGTGTAACAAGGACTTTCCGCACAAAGAGATTCTAGCTTCATTAGAAAACAATACTTTACTTTCTCCAGAGTCAACGAAGCACAGTTTCGAGCAAACTGAAGTCGAGTAACACGGTGCTTACGGCGTAATTTAGGGCCTCGGGCCGGGCGATAACTCCTGCAGTCATAAGCTTCCGCCTGACCGTCCACAAGCTAACTTCTTACTTCTTCAAGGCTTTTCTTTAGGTCCACACTTGATGCCTTACGATTCCGCAACGCCTGACTCACCAAAAACCGATCATCTCTTGGTTCTGTGCATCGTTTCCTTCCCAAAACGGATCTTCTTTTGACCGAAGCGGTCTCTCGATACCATTGCAAAGTCCTCTGGACAGTTAAATGACTCATATTGAACCGAATATAAAATTAAAGTTTGCGAACATCTTTCTTCAAGTAGGGCTTTAATCTTACCAGCGCTCATAGTTTTATCACTCATATCAGAACGTGGTATTTAATGTAAAAAGAAAGACTGAATTGTTTCATTTGCAGAAAATGTTTAAAAAGTTTTAAAATTTTTGTAACTAATTAGGAAAATATCGTTTCAGTAATTCGCGCCATTAGTAAAGCAATTTTACAATAATCCACTATATTTTTTTTCCTAAATTTCAAAATTTGAAATTTGGGACGTAAAGAATCATGTTAGGATACCTCAAATAACATGCGAATACATCGTAAAATTAATAAAACCTCTTCTTCTTAATTAATATTAGTTGTAGTAGAGATAAAAAAAGTCCCGTTTTTTTGCAAAAGAGTTTAGTAACACTTTTAACCTTGCTATGTCCAAAAAATATAGAATAAAGATATCTATTCTGAGTTCAAGAAACTATTCAATATCAATTGAAATATTTCTAGTTATCAAAATAAGAAAAGTTATTAACATTTACAATCCAAAAAGTTTATAAATTTCTTAAACTGAATACAAAGTCAGATAAATCCTAGCTTATCGGCGGCAGTACTCGCTCACTTATAATCTAAACTTATAACACTTAGTAGATAAGTAATAAAATTCTCAGAAGGCAAGTTCGAGAATTATGCTAGAGCGAATCTTCGTAGTCGAACACTCAAAGCTTTGAACACAAAATAGACAATACAGAAGAAGGTAATTTACACACAAAGTGCGCTCGAGAAATGCGCAACTGCTCACGGACGCGATATCTCGGACTGGTTGGGACCATTGCGGGCACGAGTTCTCTTTGCATGAAATATGCGTCTGTTAACTTTTTATGCAAAAATAGAGGAACATTTTTTTTGTAACTGTAAACCTGCATAGTTATTTTAATTTAACATTAAACGGTGATTTTTCGTGTATCTTAAGTAATATAACAATATAATTGAAATGTTTTAGTTATAATTATTGGTTCATATTTCCATTCTTCCTGTTTCATTCTGAACAATAAATCAAACAACTAGATACGAGTGCCAGTACCACGTTAGCTTTTTGTGCATAAGTTGACAATCCTACCGGGATCGCCGAGCGTAGGTATAAAAACCGGCCAAGTCGTGCCACGCGCAGTGTAGGGTTCCGTAGTTTTCTGGTTGTGGTACCACAATATATTTGAGCAGGAATCTTTATTTTCTATATCGGTAATTAGATATACAATTAATATCAATCTATGTATCTCAACTAAAATACTTCCATCAAAGGCAAACTGCGTCTCAAACTCAAAATCAATTCTAGATATTTTTTTAGGAAGTATGATAACCGCCGATTTTTATTTTGTTTTCTTACAGGCGGAGGAGCGGGTGTAAAATCCTCATGGGTACAGCCAGCTGCTAGGTTATGTCAGACTGTTACTGACTAAAAGCTTCATCTGTAGCGATCATTAAGGAATGATCGCTACAGATGAAGCTTTTAGTCAGTGATGTGACTGAGGATGATGCGGTATAACCGCCGATCTTTTCAAGTGCCTATATACTTTTTATAAAAACGTAACATTAGCGCGACTCAGAAGCCGTTGCCGTTGGTACTCGCGGAAGCGTTGTGGAAGTAATGATATTTGATTGTGGATTTTAAATAGTTTTTTTTTAAGATTTTGTTACAATGCAAGGGTTTGCATTACAATAACTTCATCGATGTCCCTATTAATGTTTTCTTCTAAGGAAATTTTCAATAGTTAAGAAATTTACTTTAACCAAAGTTGAACGACTATTACTCTTAAAATAACAAATCTATCTTAACCGTCATATTTTTCTTGAAAAGTTCATGAAATTTTACAGGTTTTTCAAGCCAATAGTTTAGCTTAGAGGGGGGAGGGGCGCGTTAATCGAACAAAAATTAGCACTTTAAAGTTCAATATTAGGAAACGGATCCCTAAATCGAAAAATAGTTTTAGGAACCCCTAAGTAATTTTAAAGGACCTATTCAATGATATTCCACACCATTCCATCCCCAGGTTACATATAGGGGAGCTAACCTAAAAAAAATATTTTTCATAATTTGATTCTACCATTTTGTCGATGTGATCGATATCGATACAATTACAGCTCTTTAGTACTTATATTTCCAATCAAAACCGGGGACGGACAGACAAACATGACAAAACTATAAGGGTACCTTGTCAGGACTCCGGAACCCTGAAAAATCAATATAGGTTACCTTCTGTACAATCTACTTCGTGCTTTGAAGCTCAGTCTACATAGAACGCAACAGTCTACATAGATATAGAGAATAGACTTATGCTTATCATACACCTGCGTGATGAAGCTTCGGGTGGCTTTGATACTAAAATGCGCTTAAATTTGCGTTTTATATACCTATAAATAATACAAAAACGAACGATTTCGATGATCCTAAATGAGGGAAGGGAGCTCATTCACTCCTAGCACTATCGGTACGTAGTCATTAAATAGTAAATTAAACAAAAGTCTGTACCTATAGTTATTCGTAAATTACCTATTTTACTAAATAACAAACAAAAGACGATCAATTCGAAAATAAAAACTGAAAAGTGGCAGCACTTCAACTTGATCGGCGAAGTGCGCTCTCATTCGAGAATCTTCAACGGCAGTCAAGCGGAGAGATACTATATCTCGTGCTGAAATAAAATGCAAATCGATAGTACTCAAGCTGGATGTAAAGCGATTTTAACTGTAAAAAATTTACGACACATCAAATATTTATACTGCCCAGATGATTTTCATGTTTTTAAATGCGTCAAGGTAGATAATAGATTCATAGATGTTTTTGTTCCTGTCTAGTTTCTTCTAAGTTTGCTTCCTGCTTTTTTTATAAAGATAATAATTATTATAGAAATACCTGTTATACAGTGAGCGCCTATCATTATAGATTAAATGTATATGTTTGCTAAACTATAGGCATTATCCACGTATTCATATACCTACTCTGTAGAGCTCAGGAGTAAGATCCTTAACTCTGTATCTTCTTATACATTTTTTAAATTTACCCCTCATAAATGTACAGCTACCGATTCTATCCTACATTGAAACCAACATCCGTACTCAGAAACGTCAATTTAATGTCTCGTTAATTTAATGGTTCATTAAGTCTATTGTTATTACAAAGAAAGTGACAGCACCAATTATATCCAAACTTAAAAATGAATTTACCTGTCTGAGTGCGGCCGTAAGCTATATTCCAATTTCATTATGATAAAATTAATCGAAAACAATGAACATAGTGGACTCACCATTAATATCTTGGAATGCAAACCTGCAGACGATGGCCTGGAGGCGGTAGAGGTAGGCCAGCGAGATGACCACGGACCAGTAGTAATAAAATCTTCCCGGGGAGTCGAACACGCAAGACCAATGCTGCCTGGAGCGTAGCGCCCGCTCGTTATGATAAAAGTAATAGAAAACAATGTCCAACGTGGACTCACCGTTAATCTCTTGGAAGGCGAACCTGTAGATAATGACCTAGAGATTGTGGAGGTAGGTCAGCGAATAGATCATGGACTAGTCGTAACACAGTCTGCCCGCGAGGTTCAACACGAATGAACAATGCGGCCCGGAGCGTAGCCGCACGCTCATTGTGATAAAAGTAATCGGAAACAATGAACAAAGTAGACTCACCATTAATCTCTTGGGAAGCGAACCTGTAGACGATGCCCCATAGGTTGTAGAGGAAGGCCAGCGAGACTACCATGGACCAGTAGCAGCACAGTCATCCCGCGGAGTCGGACACGAATGACCAATGCGGACTGGAGCTTAGCCTCCCTACAAATTATGATAAAAGCAATCGAAAACAATGGAAAAAGTGAACTCACCGTTGATCTCTTGGAAGGCGAACCTGTAGACGATGACCCAGAGGTTGTAGAGGAAGGCCAGTGAAACGACCATGGACCAGTAGTAGCACAGTCTTCCCGCGGGGTCGAACACGAATGACCAGTGCGGCCCGGAGCGCAACCGCCCGCTCGCGTAGGTTGATCGCCGCCTCAGACCTCCCCTGCTACTACTGTGGACAAAACCAATTGTAATTAATACTTAGCAAAATCTTGCATATCAGAGATGGATTCAAAATTTCTAAACATAAGTTACACGAGTGGACTTTTGACAATGACGGGTCTTTTCCTGGAAAAGGTTATCTTTTTTTCTTATGTCTTCACGTACACTTTAACTGTATTAATTTGTTACCTTTGTAATCGACTGGTTTTAGCACATGGCACTGAGGCATCTCTGATGTAGAAAAAGAAACTTTTAATTTTGGTAAAATAGAACGTTCTGAATCCGTCAGTAGCTCCTATTCAAAAGACTGACGATTTGGACGTTATTTGCTGCCCTAGACCTTCGGCCCTACAAAAAGGGCTCAGGTATGGTGTGAGTACTTCACAAGGTGTAAGGTTATTCTGCCGCACTCAAGTAAATCCAGAAATCCTCGTTTGGGCTTCGCCCAAACTTCGCTTCATATAGTAAAATGAGTTGTTACCTTTTCCTTATTAATTTTTTTTTAATACAATGTTTTCTAAATTTTATAAAAAGTTCTACCAATCGCACCAAATCCAAGTTCTGCAATTTTATCAAGACTAAAACACAGGCATGGCGTTTATGATCCGTTCTTAAGAATTCCAATCATAATGTCACTTCCTTTTAAAAAAAAATGAGGCCTTTTGGAATTACCATTAGGTACACACAGAACACGTAATGCCACACAAAACATGTTTTATATTACTTTCAGGCAGTACAGTGACGTCTCTGTTGTACGCCCTTAAGTGCCTACCATGATGTCATAGCTCGCGTGCCCTTAAATTCACTGTCTCTCCTCATTATTCAAGCCGGGCCAACACCCATTGCGGTGGAAATGGTAAGGTTTACGTCTTATTTATTCTCTCACTTTGGGACATTTATGATGTTGATATTCCTTCCTTACATATTTTATATTCGCAGCTTCATCCTTATGAATTACTCCAATATATCTAACGTAGATACGTAAGTATAAATTAAACGTATTTGCAAGCATAGGTACTTGTGAATATATACTCGTAATTAGGTCAAATATTTTTTATGAGACAATAAAGACTGTTAAATTAGGTATATTTCAAAAGAGTGGAATCTGCAAATACATTCATCAAAAAAGTCTTAGCAATATTTTATTAAAACAGTTTTGAACTTTTAGAATAGAAAACCTATTATTAGCCTTGTTATTAGAAAGTATAGAAAAAATGTGTTTTTGATACGCTGTTGGTTTTCTGAATAAATAAAAGTGCTAATTTTTATTAGAGTACGGCTTTTATTAAACTATTTAAAAACCACAATAAAATATCATTAGTTCCACAACGCTACCGCGAGTACCAACGGCAACGGCTTTTTCGCGCTAACGTTACGTTTTTATAAAAAGTATATAAGCACTTGAAAAGATCAGCGGTAATACTGCATCATCCCCTTTTTAGGGTCTTCAGATAAAATTTTTAGTCAGTAAGAGTCTGACATAACTTTTCAGCCATTCATCTAGGGTATCCATGAGGATTTCACACAGGCTTCCCCGCCTGGGAGAAAAAAAATCGGCGGTTATCATTCGTATTTAAAAAATAATAATATCGAATTGATTTTGAGTTTGAGACGCAGTTTGACTTTGATTTAGGTATTTTAGTTGAGATACATAGATTTTTATTAATTGATTTTTCTAATTCCCGATATGGAAAATAAAGACTCCTCTAATTATATTGTGATAACTACAGGCAACTAACGAACCCTACACTGCGCGTGGCACGATACGCACTTAGCCGATTTTTTTTCTACCTAGTGTTTATTAAAGAACAATTATGGGACTTTGTATGTGGTTTTTACTCCTTTAGATTCTTTAACTACTTCTTTCATGAAATTCATAATCTTACTGCAGAGGCAAAATCAGATATCGCATCAGATTCTGCCAGCCAAATACAGTAATGATACCTAGGTAGGCCGTTGTGTATTAGTTGATTGTTTAGACGTCACTCTCGGCTTGGAGCTTGTATAATGCAGGGTTGTCAACGCTGTAGGTATAGTCCTTGTTGAAAGAAATGAATTTATTGCGAATATACTTTAAAAAATAATTTCATGGTATTAAATTAAAAAACCGTCCAAATACCCATCGAAATCATTCCTAGGGTTCACTACAGGGTTTAAGACGAGATCAAAGAAAAAATGTTGGGTGGTCACAACAGAAATACACACTCTATGAAAATTTTCACAGTATCTTTATCACGATTTATGAAATACAACTCTGATAGATGGACGGGCGGCTAAACGGACAGCGTAGGCTTGGTAGTAGAGCATTTTCGGGAAGACTATATCTCAGAAACAGTATTTTAGACAAATCATGGTTATTTACATGATTATCACGAATCGAATTCGAAAAAAACGAAATGTAAAATATGACTACATTTTTTACGGTGAAGCATTCGTTAGAATGTCTTTACCCTTTTTTATAAATATAAGTACTTATAAAATTCCATTACCCTTATTTATGAATATAAGTACTTATAAAATATATCTTAAAACCATTGATGTAGCAACCCCAGCCCGCCCGTTAATGTATCGATAGATTCCGTTAATTGATGGAATATCTAGTACGGAGGGATGTAGCAACATCGTATATCTTGTGACACTATCAGTCTACTCATGCCGTCTAATCCATAGTAAAGATGTCTGCGTAAGTTTTTAAAGGTAAATCTAGTCTAGATCTCATGAAATACTTTGTTTCAGTTCCACTTTAAAGAGATAGAGGATGAGACAGAAAGGAGGATGCTCTCAATTCGACTGTATTTTTTGTATGTAAACATCTATACGCTTGTTTGAAGTGTAAGCTACTCGGTTCCTAGATACTGCTTTGTTAATACAAAATCTTTTCAGGATCTTAAGGCGTTTCCAGTTTACAATTTTGTGTGTTTTTCATCTTCTGAGTATTTTCATGGCCGGTGTTTATAAACCTAATCAAAAATGTAATCATCAAACCGAGCATGCCCAACCCTGAAGTATTTGTGTTGTGCGTTCTTCAAAGGCAAATATTATTTCCTTTGAATAACCGGGGTAAAGAAGAACATAGCCACAAGTTAGGTAAGTATCTGTTCATCTTTATTCCTGGATAATATATAAATATTTTTTTTACAACACGTACACAGAAATTAGCCCAGCCCCGAAGTAAGCAATGTAAGACTTGTGTTATGGGATACTAGGGTACCGGATAAAATACATATACTGTACATATAAAAGTATATTTATATAGATACATATATAATACATATTTAACATCCATTACTGGAGTACAAATGCTCGTATTCATCACACGAACATCTGCCCCCACTGCGATTCGAATCCGGGTCCTCTCGACTCGGCGATACCATGAATCTCGGCGTATGGGCCACTGGGCCGTAGTCGTCATTGGCAGGCTTATAAGTTTAATATTAAGAGGATACCATTAAGAAAAAAAATGGAAGCTAAATAGAACGAAGCGGTTTGTAAATTAATAAAGAGTTCTTTCACTAAATCTGTATTTTGTTCGCTTGGACGAAATAACAGAGAAAGCTTTTGTTTATCTAATTAACATAGTAAATAATTATAAGCTGTTTCGTTTGACAATTTCGAGGTAATGGCAAATCCCTTTTATCGTGAACAATGTTAAGATCTACCTTATTTTGTTAATTAAAATAAATCGATTGTTCAAGATGAGATATTATGTAGTTCCCTGCAAGACGAAAGAAACTCTAAAACACCAATGCATGTAATTACAGCGCGTTTTGTCGTTTCATTAACAATTATACCATTATGCTCCGTCGCCCTATCGCGAGAATTTTCGTTTTCACTACAAATCGGGCCAAGAAAAAAACACATTTTAAAACATGGTCAGAAACGGTATTACTTGGCCAGACTTGCCACGAAAACGGAAAATGTTCGCGATAGCGCAAGACAGTGTGGCGGTAGCGTCATTCAGTTTAGGACATTTTCAGGTTTGGTTTTTCGTGATTATCCTAAAATACGTCATGTGTTTTTTTTTCAAATTCCGCGAGTTTGATTCCCAGTTGTAGCAATCGATTTTAAGTCTGTAAATCTGTGAAGCAGTTCTTGTTATTATTAAAAATAAATGATGTCTTTTTTCAGTAAAATATCCCATCTTCAATATTTAATATACTTTCCTTCCGTGTGACAAAAAAGTGGGGCGCCCTGTATATTGGCTAGTCTAACAGATACTGAGTTCTGTCCATAGTTTATTAGACGATTCAGGAAATTTTCGAAAAAGAAGTCGAGTCGAGATTGTAATAATTACGTCATAATTTAGTTTTTAATGAAATTCGTTTTCGTTAATTTTAGACACATATCTACTTATCATCATCCTCAGCCTATAAATATGGCACAGGCCGTCTTTATGGAGATTGGATCACGCGGGCCCAGTGCGGATTGGTGAGTACTAATAATTGCAACGGCTTAACGTGCCTTCCGAAGCACGGAAGAGCTCGAGATAGTATATATTTGGCTACTCATTCAATGGCCGACCACCGGGAAAGTTCCTTAACTTCAGCGATCGCAGACGAACGCGCTAATCACTTACGACGTCGAGCTCTAACGAGATAACTAGATAGGTAAAGGTAGAGACCTTTACCTACTTATACTATCTAGTTATCTAGAGATCAGAAACAATATTGGTCCACACATGGTCAATACATTACGTATTACAATAGTGTTTATCTATAGGTGAAGCAAAGGACTGAATCCAATTATATTGGGATACTATTAGTCAGAGGCTTAATGAGGTGTATAACAAACACCACCTCCTTACTCCACTGATATGGATTTGTGCAAGTAATACCATTTCCTTAATTGTATACATCTCATCATCATCAATATTATCTTGAACTAACATTCTTAAATCGCAAAAAAACGAGTTATTAAATCTTAAAAATAGTAATACGCTATTTTGACTATTGTTTATTTGATATTTTTTTTTTTCAAATCTTGTTGAAGCGCGATATTTGCTAGTTTCACAGCCGCCATTAAGTTTGAGTCGCACTCTTGTACACATAGAAATGATTAGTAATTAGCAGGTAATTGCCATGGCAGTGTGGCGGCGCGAGGTGGTTGTGTGGCGCAGGAGTGGCATGTGCGTGCGGTGTGTGTGGCGTGCTCCGCCATCCGGTCAGCAGTGGCGCCTCACCGCTAGCACCGAGTCGTACTCATAGAAGTGATTGGTTATGGGTACCTATCTGTGCCATTTCAGTGCGGCGGCGCGAGGTGGTTGTGCGAGTGGTGCGGCACTGGAGTGGCGGGTGCGTGCGGTGTGTGTGGCGTGCTCCGCCATCCGCTCAGCAGTGTCGCCTGCCGTTAGCACCGAGTAGTACATATATAAGTGATTGATTATAGGTACCTATCTGTGCCGTTGCAGTGCGGCGGCGCGAGGTGGTTGTGCGAGTGGTGTGGCGCTGGAGTGGCGGGTGCGAGCGGTGTGTGTGGCGTACTCCGCCATCCGCTCAGCAGTGTCGCCTGCCGCTAGCACCGAGTAGTATATATAGAAGTGATTAGTTATAGGTACCTATCTGTGCCATTGCAGTGCGGCGGCGCGAGGTGGTTGTGCGAATGGTGCGGCGCTGGAGTGGCAGGTGCGTGCGGTGTGTGCGGCGTGCTCCGCCATCCGCTCAGCAGTGGCGCCTCGCCGCTAGCGCCGAGTAGTTTTAATCTACACGGACAAAATCCTCATTTTAAATATTATTAGGAAAACAATTTAAAAATGTTAAAACAAAGTTATGTTAGCAAAAATAAAAAGTTAATGCCTGGATAAGCTACGTCAACAGAAATAAGAACCTGCAACACATCGATGGCTCATATTGAGCATTATTAATCAGCTAAATCTAATAGAAAGCTCCAGCATTCAAAACACATCCGGCATTATTATTATAGAGCGGTAAATACTAGTTTTCCTACAATAATGTAGTCAAAATCAAAATGAACTAAAATTTATTGAGATTAATCAATAAATTAATTTTTTATTAAAAAAAAGCCAAGGAAGAATCGTTTTCCAATTGTGGGATTCGGAAGTAACGAATGAAGCAAAAATACTCACGTCTGAAAAAACTATGGAGAAAAACTAAGGAAATAATAAGAAGTATAAGACTATCTTCATTTTATAAAAAAGAACGCTAATCTTGACTTTATTCAAAAATTTGCAAATTGTCAGCATTGCTGTTCTTGCTCGATTACAAAGTAAGTTGACAGTACTTTACAATAAATTTTTACTTATTTTAATAATTATGAAATACACTTCCTGTAGATATAGCTTAAATAGTTGTAAGTTTTATACTTTAAAAAAATCTAATTAGAGTTCTAGCGGTTGACCCAGTTTATTTGCAGTCGAGTGTATTTTCAAATCCTATTTTATATGAACGAATGGTATTCGTTGAATTTGAATTTGTTTATTTTTCTAATTAAAGAGCTCGATGACGCAGCGACTAGCGCATTTGCCCAGCGATCGTGGAAATTAAGCAACTTTCATGATGGCCGGTTATATTATGGGTGACCAAAAATTCAACCATTTTTAACTAAATAAAACAAGTTTCAACGGTATAGATGCACTGATTTATTTATTTATTGACGTTTTGCAACCTTTTCAGGATGCGTCGTCTTAATTATGATTTTAGATAAATCAGTGCATCTATACCGTTAAAACTTGTTTTATATAATGAGTGGTTTGCGTGAAAACCTAAGAAAAAAAAAAATATGTATCTGTATCCTTTTTAAACAAATTTGTTTCAATACTTGTAGGTGCTCGCGACTTCACCGTTGAATAACCGATTTTCCAAACAGAATTTAAGTCGCTATTTCTCCCTCTATATGTTTTATTTTGGAGGCAAACAGGCCGTATCTTAATTGAAATTTTTGCAAACATGTATAATCTGAGAATTAGGATACATGTCACGGAAAAATGTTAAGTTCCTGTGGAATTCTCAAAAAACTAACTGTGGATATAAGGTAATTATGACATTGCTAGTGTGGATACAAAACAGCTAAATTTATATAAGTTTTCACAAAGCGAGGGCGGGAACCCGTTTGTTGATCGATCAACTTAGCGATTCGCGATCGGCTACCGCTAGAAATTGGTTTTCCCGATGCGACACAGGACTGAAAAGCTAAAGGAGCTTTCGTTGCTAGCTGTCGTACCGTGAAATGAGATATAAAACGTTCAAAAATGCGATTGGTCCCGATGCCATTTGCTCGCGTTGCACCACAAGAAATATTTGACACTACGAAATACAACGGCATTTGTTGCAGTTCACAGAATCAACTATTTAAAAGCTGACATCTAGTATATAGTTACCACCTGCAACCGTCTATGTTTAGAATTGAATTAAAATTAGTTTGACTGCCTTTTCAAATTCAAATTCTTTATTTGCCATTAAACAGGGTGGGTACGCCTGTTTAGCCATATGATAAAGCATGCAAAGGAATATTTCCATTTATATTTGTAAAAAAACAATAACTACAAAGAAAATCTGAATTTTTGTGCCAGATAAACTGCCAATACAGAAGTTTTGCAGTTAACGTCTGTTGGACAGTGTTATAATGTTTCAGTTAAATTTCAGAAACACTTTAAGGAACTGGTGAAACTTTACCTCAATACCTAAAATATATTTCACTAGCGGTCGCCCAGACTTCGTCCGCGTTAACATCAGATTTTTGAAAATCTTACAGGAATTTCATCCGAATCATTTCGCCGTTATTACGTAATTTTGAAATTCAAAACCAATCAATTGAGTAACAAACATACGATAAAAAACATACAAACATTCATATTATTTATAATATACTGAACACATTGTTGTGCAAATAATCAATTCTTATTTTATCTTATATCAGGAAATTATATTATACGAACAGTGAACAGGGTCTCTTCGAAATCCTTTTAAAAAAATATACACTACTAGATGACCCAGTGTACTTCGTGGTAGTTTTCCAATTACAGAGCATAATGCGACTCAGTGGCGCACAATGCCGAATTATGCTGATGCTTAATTGGAACGTGAATTAGTTTTCAAATGCACCAGGAGAGTGCGCTAAGTTGTTGAAAAAAAAAATTCATATACTTAAATATTCATGTAAATATTCAATGTTTGTACCTTCATCCATACTTATATTTATTTTTTTAATACAGTTTGAATTAACTTTGATTATTTTAAAAAATCTACAATGAAACGAAAGCTTTAAAAATTTTTCAACAAAAAAATATTACTAACGATAATATATAAATAGAACTTTTCGATCAATGCCAACTTAAATAAAAACACTTGTTAATTTTCTGTCACTGAGTTGGTATCGAATGCACGCATCACACGAAAACATTACTTTTGAGAGTGCTCGATTATGCGAAGCGTTACTGTAGTTGAAACATTCAACGTTAAGCATTATGCCGCATGATGCGCTGTAGTGCTGTAATTGTAAAACTACCCGGAAAACTACCCTAGGACGAACCAATATCGAATTCGTATCGTTTGCGAGTCCGAAATGTCATTGTCAAATGTGTACTGATTTTTAGTTCCCGTTACGTACTTTGTGGCGCTGCTGTTCAAGTTTGCATACAAAATTTGACATTGACATTTCGGTTTGCAAACTATTCGAATTCGATAACGGTTCGTGCTAGGGGTAGCGTATCACCCATCGAAACGACATTAAAACCCTCCCTTTCGCTAAAATGGCTGAAACGTCAAACGTTTGACAGGAAAGTAGGTACAACAGTTTATATGGGACCAGCGGGGCTATAAGCGGGTGCGCATGTACAACGGGCAATTACTCGCGCCACTCACTCGCGGTGACAGTCCTCAGCAAAAAGCACGCGCACGCGTTTTAACGGCCAAGCGGGCGTAGGCGGCCGCGGGCTGAGCGAGTATATTTTTGATAGCTTTTGTCGCTCGGCGACAAACTAGTGGAGCAAGTTCTCGCTGTCAGTGTGAACAGTTAGCGATCAACTATTAATATATGCATCTCTTATGTTTACCCGACATGTTTATCTATATTTGTTTCTTGAGGGAGAAAATAATGGATAGTGTCGCTTCCTCGCCAGCGGTGGGACAACTGTCTGTTACTGTTGATTCAATTAGTCATTTGAGGATGTTGATCTGTTGATTCAATTAATCATTTTATATTAATCAATACTCTAAGCTCTGGTCAATATGAGATACTTGGAGACAATTTGATATCAGGTGTAAATAGGGTATTCCCGAATTTGGTGTTTCATTGCAATCAATGTGTTTATTGGAAAGCGTCCGTCTAATCCACCGACTTACACGGTTAGTTTGACGTGATCAACGAATCGCAGTATGAGCCACTAGCTGGGTGTAATTGAACAAGAACACTGTTGTTTAATTGTTTAGCAAACCAAATGCGGTACCGATAAACAGTCTGTTTACTAGGCCGGGACTTAATGAGCGAGCATGTTTGGACACCAATTTTCCAGTTTCATGATGAGTCGGTAATGGCGGTTGTGGATTGATCGGTTTTGCCTCTTTATTTTGTTATAAACGTACCTATGTATATCCTTAAAAGAAAAAAGGAGCTAATTATCGCTGAAGTTAGTTTTGTGGCTGTTTGTGTTGTTGCTGACGGTGGGGTGACGTGACGTTTAACTGTAAATGAAATAAATTGACTTAGGTAAATTGATATTGAATAATGATAATACATTCATAGAAAAATACCTACTAAAGCCTCAGTTAAGGTAAGCAAAATAATTCTTAGTAGAATAAAACAGTTCATTTTTTATATCTATTTATGACAAATTGACGACCTCCGTGGCCGAGTGGTTTTTACGCCGGGTTTCATGGTATCGCTGACTCGAGAGGTCCCGGGTTCGAATCCCGGTGGGGGGCAGATGTTTGCGTGATGAATACGAGCATTTCTACTCCAGTCATGGATGTTTAATATGTATTTCTATATAAATATACTTACATATGTACTGTATATGTATTCTATCCATTACCCTAGTATCCCATAACACAAGCCTTACAGTGCTTACTTTGGGGCTATGCTAGGCGAGTGTTGGAAATATTTATTTATATATAAAAAAAGAACCCTTGACATAAACAATAAGTGCTCCAGATACAGGTGGCGTATAAACGTTCTTATATTAAAATCTGCGAATAAGAATAAAATTATTACCTATGTAGTCATTATACCTAGTAAAACGATATTTGCCGCGTGATGTGGCAGAGCCTAGAAAGTATCCATTTGAGGACTTCGAGTGTCTGTCGTTGTTTGGAAAGGGGAGGGCCCTTTCCTTAAGGGCTGTTTTAATCACGAGTGTTGACTCAATGAGGCGTACTATAGGACGAAGAAAAGGCTCTGGAAGATTGACTTTGTTATAAGGTCTAATGTAAGGCACTTAGATAAAATGGTTTTGTTGGATTTGAGTTAATGCGCGTATTGTGTTGCGTAGCCACACTTGTAGTAAGTCATTTACTATTGCTCATTATTGTTTTTGTGTCGTTTAGTAAACATGAGTACTGCTGTGTGGTTGTTAAATGGTAGCGAACCTGCCTTCTGTTCTATAGGTGTTTGATTCGAATCCCGGTGTGATGAGTTCAAATATTCGATAGCGTTCTGTTATAAATTACATATGTATGTGATAGTACTGACAGTGCTGCCACACAGTTGACTAAGCAATATGGTCTGATATCCGCGATTAAGACCTCTGAGATCTATAAATCAATTCTGGATCGTTTGTCTCGCTAAATGACTGGGGGCTGAGGCCCTTTTTAAATGTTTGTCGTAGTCCAGGGAAGGTTTAAACGGTGAGAACATATGGAAAAATAGCGAAGAAAATACTAAAAAAGAACAAAATTTTCCCATATAAACTGTTGTACCTACTTTCCTGTCAAACGTTTGACGTTTCAGCCATTTTAGCGAAAGGGAGGGTTTTAATGTCGTTTCGATGGGTGATACGCTACCCCTAGCACGAACCGTTATCGAATTCGAATCGTTTGCGAGTCCGAAATGTCATTGTCAAATGTGTACTGATTTTTAGTTCCCGTTACGTACTTTGTGGCGCTGCTGTTCAAGTTTGCATACAAAATTTGACATTGACATTTCGGTTTGCAAACTATTCGAATTCGATAACGGTTCGTGCTAGGGGTAGCGTATCACCCATCGAAACGACATTAAAACCCTCCCTTTCGCTAAAATGGCTGAAACGTCAAACGTTTGACAGGAAAGTAGGTACAACAGTTTATATGGGAAAATTTTGTTCTTTTTTAGTATTTTCTTCGCTATTTTTCCATATGTTCTCACCGTTTAAACCTTCCCTGGACTACGACAAACATTTAAAAAGGGCCTCAGCCCCCAGTCATTTAGCGAGACAAACGATCCAGAATTGATTTATAGATCTCAGAGGTCTTAATCGCGGATATCAGACCATATTGCTTAGTCAACTGTGTGGCAGCACTGTCAGTACTATCACATACATATGTAATTTATAACAGAACGCTATCGAATATTTGAACTCATCACACCGGGATTCGAATCAAACACCTATAGAACAGAAGGCAGGTTCGCTACCATTTAACAACCACACAGCAGTACTCATGTTTACTAAACGACACAAAAACAATAATGAGCAATAGTAAATGACTTACTACAAGTGTGGCTACGCAACACAATACGCGCATTAACTCAAATCCAACAAAACCATTTTATCTAAGTGCCTTACATTAGACCTTATAACAAAGTCAATCTTCCAGAGCCTTTTCTTCGTCCTATAGTACGCCTCATTGAGTCAACACTCGTGATTAAAACAGCCCTTAAGGAAAGGGCCCTCCCCTTTCCAAACAACGACAGACACTCGAAGTCCTCAAATGGATACTTTCTAGGCTCTGCCACATCACGCGGCAAATATCGTTTTACTAGGTATAATGACTACATAGGTAATAATTTTATTCTTATTCGCAGATTTTAATATAAGAACGTTTATACGCCACCTGTATCTGGAGCACTTATTGTTTATGTCAAGGGTTCTTTTTTTATATATAAATAAATATTTCCAACACTCGCCTAGCATAGCCCCAAAGTAAGCACTGTAAGGCTTGTGTTATGGGATACTAGGGTAATGGATAGAATACATATACAGTACATATGTAAGTATATTTATATAGAAATACATATTAAACATCCATGACTGGAGTAGAAATGCTCGTATTCATCACGCAAACATCTGCCCCCCACCGGGATTCGAACCCGGGACCTCTCGAGTCAGCGATACCATGAAACCCGGCGTAAAAACCACTCGGCCACGGAGGTCGTCAATTTGTCATAAATAGATATAAAAAATGAACTGTTTTATTCTACTAAGAATTATTTTGCTTACCTTAACTGAGGCTTTAGTAGGTATTTTTCTATGAATGTATTATCATTATTCAATATCAATTTACCTAAGTCAATTTATTTCATTTACAGTTAAACGTCACGTCACCCCACCGTCAGCAACAACACAAACAGCCACAAAACTAACTTCAGCGATAATTAGCTCCTTTTTTCTTTTAAGGATATACATAGGTACGTTTATAACAAAATAAAGAGGCAAAACCGATCAATCCACAACCGCCATTACCGACTCATCATGAAACTGGAAAATTGGTGTCCAAACATGCTCGCTCATTAAGTCCCGGCCTAGTAAACAGACTGTTTATCGGTACCGCATTTGGTTTGCTAAACAATTAAACAACAGTGTTCTTGTTCAATTACACCCAGCTAGTGGCTCATACTGCGATTCGTTGATCACGTCAAACTAACCGTGTAAGTCGGTGGATTAGACGGACGCTTTCCAATAAACACATTGATTGCAATGAAACACCAAATTCGGGAATACCCTATTTACACCTGATATCAAATTGTCTCCAAGTATCTCATATTGACCAGAGCTTAGAGTATTGATTAATATAAAATGATTAATTGAATCAACAGATCAACATCCTCAAATGACTAATTGAATCAACAGTAACAGACAGTTGTCCCACCGCTGGCGAGGAAGCGACACTATCCATTATTTTCTCCCTCAAGAAACAAATATAGATAAACATGTCGGGTAAACATAAGAGATGCATATATTAATAGTTGATCGCTAACTGTTCACACTGACAGCGAGAACTTGCTCCACTAGTTTGTCGCCGAGCGACAAAAGCTATCAAAAATATACTCGCTCAGCCCGCGGCCGCCTACGCCCGCTTGGCCGTTAAAACGCGTGCGCGTGCTTTTTGCTGAGGACTGTCACCGCGAGTGAGTGGCGCGAGTAATTGCCCGTTGTACATGCGCACCCGCTTATAGCCCCGCTGGTCGTCAACTCGTTTCTAGTTTCTAGCTATACTCGCTTCTCGTTAATCGTCGTCGGTGGAACAAGTGTCATGCCGACTTGAAGTTTAACAGTGCATATTTGCTTAAAGCGCAAGGTCCTAAAAATGACATTATATTTTTTTAACGCAGATTACATAATTCAACGCTATCTACCAATGGCATAATAACCACTGTACAAGTAAAATGCAAGTTTATTTAATTAATTTGTTTTATTTCCAAAGGACTGCACAAGCAGTCGCAACGAGACACAGAACGGAAGAGAGCGATGTTGCCATCACTAAAATATTAGTAAGTATTGACCTGTGTGGCCATAAAAAATCTTATAAAATATTGCTTTTAAATTTATATTGGAAATAAATCAAAGAACCACTAAAATCTGAATTGTGAAACTATTATCTGAATACAAGATATCGCCGATGACACCGTACTATCGAAATTTCTCCTTCACTTTTGAATTGCCTCAATCGGAGCAGAGAAATCCTGTTAGTTTAATCTTCTTGGACTTCCAACCAATATAATAAACAAACTCTCAAACATTAAGTTGAAATCTTTTAAGTTTTCATAAATATAGAGTACAGTCAAGTGCGAACTATTCGGTGCATTAAAACTTTCTAGTTTTAAAATGGGAATGCGTGGGTCTATTTACAACGTTCCCGTAAAATTTAAACTCGCACTAAGTGCTGGCAAATGAAGCATGCAATTCATAAACTTGATTGTGTGGCACATTATTGAAGCATTACTAATTTAAGTAAAATTTTATTGAATTATCTACCTGACCAAAACTTTAAAAAAACTCGAAAGAGTCCTTTTTAGTACCTAATGGTAAACTATAGGTACGCCCACTCTAACAAAATATGTAATATTATATTCCAGACGAAATAGGACTACATTTGTCGTGTTTGATAGCGGACTTATTCTATATACACCACAATATAATTTTATTATTACCACATTATTAAACTGGGCTTGGATTGCACAGTGAGTACGGTCGACTTCGGGCCTACGGACTACGACCGCACAGCGACTTTGGTTGACTACGGGTCTACGGTGAAGCTACAGGCTACGAAAAACCTATGTGTTACGGACGCTATCCCATGCGCTAGGTACGGTTCCGATGAGCTAAAGGCAATATAAATTTTTAGATTACATTCAAAGACATTTCAACTGGGGGCGAAATAGGGAAGCTAAATTCATATAAATTTGTAAAATTACGAGTGGTTATTATAAAATAACTATGAAGACGTGGCGCAGGCAGTTTAACCATAAATGATGGCAGTAGCTACCTGGCTTTGTGCGCTCTTCTTGACCGCGTGGAGAGATCCAGCTCGCTGGCGGCGGTGCACGCCGTGCCGGCCTGCAGAGAGCCGCGCGAACCGCCCAGCCGTCGCGAACCCAGCCGGCACGTCATCATTTCTGAAACAACACAATAACGTTTTAATCATCACCATCATCATCAGCCTATTATTATCCCCACTGCCAGGGCACAGGCCTTTCCTATGAATGGTATAGGGAGACTAGAACGTAACCCACCACGCGGTTCCAGTGCGAATTGGTGGGTTTAGCACCCACCACCGATTGCAGATGCAGCCGGGACCAAAGGCTTAACGTGCCTTCCGAAGCACGAGGACCAATTACCGATAAATGCGAAAGTTGCTTAACTTTCACTATCGCAGGCCGAATGCGCTAACCACCTACGCCAATGAGCTCTTCGTTTTAATCAATCAGTGAATATGAGAGGTAGCGTAAGCTAGATCTTCATTGACCAATACGGCCAATTGTGAGACATTAAGATAATTTTTTCTTCATAAAAGAACACTAAATTCACAAAGCTGTTAAAGCTGACGTACTTATACAATAATGCATATTAATGCATATTACTTTTTCGGACATTATTCATAACTGTTTCAACACGTATGTAGAATAATGTAGATCTATACAATAAAGGAAATTAGAATAATTAACGACATCGCCACAAACAAGCTAAACTCGTAGTTTGAAATTTGAATTCGAATTGGCTTTGTTAACTGTGAATTCAAGTTATGCACTCAGAGCGTACCTGCCATAATTTAAAGGTGTTATTTATATTAGGTCCTTACATATGAAATTAGCGTTTTGTCGCACTGACCACATTGATCTGTAATATCTCCTCTTTGGTTAAGAATTCTAAATTTAAATTTATAAATTCATTTAGCTGGTACATTTGAGTTTTGAAAACAGTCTTCATTTGTTTTTTTCCCCATTATTTTTTTCTTTGGCGTCGCTTATTACCGCACATTGGAAAACATGAAATATCGGTATTTTTACGAGTACGTGTTCTACCGTGGCACCAGTGCTCAAGGAACAGCTAGAAGGATTAATAATGTGTGCGGCGCTGGTGTCGCAAAAGAAAGCACGGTACGTTTTTGGTTTCGTTTTCGTTCTGGAAATTTTGACCTTCAGGACCAACCCCGTGGACGGTCGGAGACCAAAGCGAAAGCGGATCCATCACAAAGCACTTCAGAGATAGCTGCAGGCTTCGGTGTAAGTGACAAAACTTTATAAATCCACTAGAAGCAAATCGGGAAAGTAAAAAAACTTGAACGACCCATCGTTCCTCCATGAATAGAGTGATTCGAACTTGCAAACACGCGTCGACTGCTTGTTACTTTGCTCAACCGACACGATAATGAAGGGAATTTAAAGCGAATCATTATTTGTGATGAAATTTGAATACTGTACGATAATCGGAAGCACTCGTCGCAATGGCTGAACCCTGGAGACCCAGACAAATCCTGCCCTAAACGCAAATTGACTCAATAAAAGTTACTTTCGAGTGTTTTGTGGATTAGCGCCGGTGTCGTTCACTACAGCTTTCTAAAATCTGGCTAAACGATTACGGCAGATATCTTTAGTCAGCAAATGCAAACCATGAAGGAAGAACTACCTGCTAATCAACCGAGATTGCTCAATCGCTCTAGGCCACTGCTGCTTCACGACAACGCAAGACCACACACTGCACAGCAAACAACCACTAAGTTAGATGAGCTACAATTGGAATGTCTGCGACATCCACTGTACTCCCCGGACCTTGCTCCAACAGATTACCAACTTTGGACAAAAAGGAAAAAAAAATCAACTCCGATGCTACAGTCCAAACCGCCTTCAAAGAGTTTATTGATTCTCGCCCCCATGGTATTTTCGTAAAGGGATCAATGAAGTACCTATGGGATGGTAAAAATGCATAGATAACAACGGTGCATACTTTGATTAATTAAATATATTTTACAAAAAAACATACTTTATATTCCTACCATACAAAGCGCTAATTTCTTAAGTAAGGGTCTATTATAATTTAAGACAAACAAATTCCGTTCTTTTATTAAAGAAGTGACGGCGTGAAGAAGATTCTATAGGGTCGGCAAAGAGCGCGTGAAGGGACGGACAGACGTGCTCATTACTAGCACAGAAGCATACTTTTATTGAGCAGGTGCTCATTAGTAGCACGTATATAACAACATTGCTAGTGATGAGCATTGGAGCATGCCTAAAAATCAACCGACGTTTGATTTTCAAGTATGCTACCTGAGGCTCGGATAGGAGGGGGCGTGCTCCTAGCGCGTGTGAACGGTTGATGAACGGAAGGTTTGCGCTATTCTCTGAATTATAGAAAGTAACTGAATAAATTTGTGTGGGAGTATGCGTAAATGATTTTTGTAACTATCGAGATCTTCGCTTGGAATTTATGCTAACAATCGATTACTTGATCCCAGTGATTCTCTTCTGTTTATTCAATTATGAACCCAAATCTCTTTGTTTTTTTCTTTTCCAACAAAATATGTTAACTCAATTCCGGAGCAAGCAATATGAGTATTTTATTGAGTTCTGTACAGATAGCACTGTCACAATATCTTTGTACAACCATTTGGCCGAGAGCCTGGTGCGAAATAGCATGTCTATTCATTGCTTTGCCATGCTTATTTATGAGTATGCTTAAAACTAGCATGCATATTGCTGGAAAATGTGAACAGATGCAGAGCATGCTAATATTAAGCAAGTTTACAAGCATGCTATTTTTTGAGCACATATGTCCGTACCTTGACACACTTGCTGCTTTTGCTTTGTTTTCTACCCTGGTATTTTAGTTTACTTTTTGGTCAAATGGTCACCACCATCAGGCGGAATGTTACTTTATTTGATAACTCTTTTGAAGAAAAACAATTTATAAAATAGCAACGTAGTTTCCCAAGGCAAGACTTTTTCATTATTAACTCTTGTTCTAATTTATTTGATTTCCATTGGACAACATGTATTGGAAGTATGTATTTTTTTACTTTCTTAATTTATGTATGGGGTAGGTGACAAACCGTATTTTCGTTCTGAGCCTACCACTGTGTCTTGTGTGTTGGTACGACTTTACGGCCGACGCCAGCACCAATGAGCAAGTAGTTTACTTCGAGTCCCCGCCGTGTAAGCAGCTATCAATCAGCTCTCAATATTTTTCCATTACATCAAGTGAGAGTACCCTTTCTCTGGAACATATCGTGGACCTTCTGACCTGTAGACTTTGATGTGCGATATATTGCCGGCTATAGTTTCCCAAGAGCGTTGACGAGCCCCGTTCTGAAGCCTAGCCCTCGGTACCCGTGGCGGTGTAAGGAGCGTTTGTGGTAAGTCGCCGAACCCCGGCTTTTATCATACAACTATGCAATTGCCATAACATTGAAAACTAAATTCTTTGATAAAATAATTTGTTTATTCTCTCCAGTCTTTATCTTAGGCCGTATTATAGAAAGATGTTCAGTAATTAATGTAGTCTTGAGCATAGTCAGAAATGGATGATGCTATATAAAACCCTTTCTAACTATACTCAAGTAAAGATCAACACTTAGTTGTGATTCTGTAATACGAGCCTAAGTATTTAACTCGTAATCAGCCTTGTGATCATGTTGTCCAATGTTAATATTTAATTTGATAAGTGCCATATATCAAATGGGTAACTTAATCAATAAAATTCAAACGGCCCGCCAATTCGATTGATGTGCAGATCGAACCTGGAGCTCCACTCTCTTTCTCCGAAACGAAATTTCGTCAACGAACGAATTTAAAAGGAAATTTTGCCAGTGACTCTACTCTATTTTATTTAGGAACACGCATATAAAGTTCGGAATCACAAACAATTTTCGTGAACGAATGGAATGAATCATGTTTGTAAGTTCTTTTTATGTTTACTTTTTAAATAACGTTTTGTACTTGGAAACAATGTTACTTTATGACAACATTTTTGAGGACATTGGAAGAACCTTTTTTGACAGTGTTAGCCGACTAATTTGTAGAGTTGATATATTCTTTCGTTTGTCAACCTAAATTTGTCGTTTTATATTTTGAAGTATTGGAAATACATTACATAATAAAAATTTCGTTTCTTTGTTAATTTTACATGCTATAAAATGTTCCTCGAGCTGAGCAGCCTGGATGAAAAATATTCTATCAAGCATTTTAGACTTAATTCAAATAAAAATCCCAAAACGGCAAAGAAAAGGTAACACTTTTGATTTCGTCAATTTGAGGTTAAAATTTCGAACAATTATATTATGTCAAATTCAAGATTTCGTTAGAAAGTATTGTGAATTAGAGAAGGCTTGTAGAATTTAACTGTGAAACTATTTTCGGATGAACGAATTTTCGAAATAAAAAAGAAACAGAGTAAGAAACGTGCGAAATTTGGATCGAAATTTCGTTTTTCGTCGAAATAGAGTAGGCCTCCTGACACTTTGGACTTTACGACGGGAAAAATTAGTTTTCGTTTATAGGATAATTTATAATAATAATAAAATAACTTTATTTATTACCACAAATGACAAAAAGGGTTTACAAAAATCTTGGGTGAATATTATCATGTCTATTTTTGGAGTAGAAAATGCAGTAAAAAGTACTTCCCATTAAGTTCAAAATTACCAAAACTTGAATTGAAATATCTAAATTTATATTTGAATACGAGGGCAGCTATGAAAGAGCATTCGCGTGACTATTATCATCATACCATTTTACTTCATTTAACTTTTCAATGGAACATTTTAAGAATCCCCTAAAGCAACTTTTAAGAGTTATAATTTTATTTTTTTAAGCATGTAACTGCTTAATGTTTACATCTAAAGAAAATATAACTAGAAAAAAATCCACGCGGACTAGGCAGCAGACGGGACTCGAACCCGCACCTTTCGCAATCCGGGCGAATACACTGTCCAACTGGCGCTGCCTTGCAGCTTAAGAATGGCTAGAAGAATTACGATGCGGCCATCAGGGCTGCGGTAGCATAATTGGCGGGTTCGAGTCCCGTCTGCTGCCTGGTCCGTGTGGATTTTTTTTTAGTTATATTAACTTTTAAGAGAGTAAGAACATTGCGGATTGTCCGCTCGAATTGGAGGGAAGTAACCTACACCTTACAGAGGATCATAGTTTAATAACACTATTGGTGATGTTGTGTTTCTATCGATGAGTAAGGTTCTAGAGTTCCACGGTGTAGGAGATTGGGTCTGGGTAGGCAACGGTGCGCGTTATATTGTTTGGTATCGCAAGCGTTTATAGGCTATCGTGGCCGCTTACCATTAGGCGGGCCATTAGCAGAATTTATATTTCGAACAAACTTTGTATAAAGAACAATGATATTAATCATATTGTAAATGTTTAAAATACATGATACGAAATCGCCTTGCAATCAATTGGAGCCAACCGAATAAGCATATCAAAGGGGCCAATCACCACAGGAAGAAAAAATACTACAAAGACAATCAACAGAAGCCAACCCGTGACACGAACAAGGAATAACAGAACAAATCCAATAAGTCACTGTGTCGCGCTTTTTCTTGTGGTTTCAGAAATTGTAACAGTTTACACCCATTGGATTTGAGTCGATGTAAACAGGAATAGTGATAAAAATAGCGTACACACATCAAAAAGAGTTCGAGATCACTTGCAAACGCTGATATATTTTCAAAATTTAAGTTAATCTAAAGAAAATGTTTACGTTATATCTTTTTTTATGTAAAAATACACTTTCAGAAATTAAAAAATAAAACAGTTTTTATTTTTTAGTATAATAAATTTAATAATTGAATCCTAAGGCGATTGTAACAGAACTTTGATACAAATAAAAATATAGTTAGACCAAACTTAAAAACCTTTTATGAATAAATTGTTGTTTATCTAATACAAAATAGCCTCCTCTAGCTCGAACACATGCGGAGATCCTTATGGGCATGCTGAGGATCAAGTTATCCAGCATTTCTTGTGGTAACCTGTCCCATTTTTCAACAGCAGCTTCCCTGAACTGCAGCACTGTCTGGCGTGGTGGCTGCCGGTTCCAAAAGATCGCTTAAGAGCATCCCACGCGTGCTCTATTGGGTTTAAGTTAGGAGAGCTGGCAGGCCAGTCTAAAACTTGTGATTTCGTATTCTCGGAAATATATTTTGTATTTCAGCATTGACTCGTTGAGCTCGATGTGCGGGCGCATTATCGTCAACCAGTACAAATTGGTGCCCATAGTTCTCTCGGAAAAATCTGACGATTCCATCAATAGCGACTGTTTTGTACCTGTCTGCCGTCATGAAGCGTTGATAAGGGATTAAAGGCGTTCTAGCCCCAATCATAATACCACCCCAAAAGGACACTGATTTCCCGCCTTGCTGAACCGTTCCAGTGGCCGTTCTTTGCCTTTCAGTCTTCAGGTCTTCTCCAAACACGTACTCGTCGGTTATCTGGATAAGTACTGATTCGCGATTCGTCAACGAAGAGTCAGTTTTGCCAAATGTTTGACTCTTCGTCTTCTTCGTTTTGCCGGACCCTAGCCCACTGTAATCTCCGTCGCAGACGTTCCCGTGAATTCAAAGATGCTCGCCAAGACCTCCGTGCTCGTAATCCAGCCTTTTATATTCAATCCATCCATTTTTTAAATCACATCATTCCTTGCAAATATATTTTAAATTCGATATTATGACTTAGTTAAAGTCAGATTTCTGAATGAGTGTGTCTACTTGGATTGCATGTCTTTTTATGTGGAAAAACAATTGAATTATTTTATTGTTTTACGATGTAATTCTAATTTTAACATTTACAATCTTTTCAGAAATAGAAATTTCTGAATTTATAGAAAAAAACTATTTTTCAAAGTGATCGCAAACTTTTTTTGATGTGTGAATACTCATGAAATTGTTGATTTGCGTAAAAACTCAAGAAATACAAATTTATAAAAAAAACTTCTTTAAAATATAGTCCCAGTAAAAGTGATAAAACACACTCGCTGTCTCAATTATGAGGTAACCATGGCGATAAAATTGAAAGCACGAAGACCACATATATAGGTTTCCTTTGTCCCAAATATAGAAGTTTGCGAAGGTTTCCGTCCGTAGAGGGGTTTCAAACTAATAACTCGCCAAAAATAAGCTTGATTTCATATTTATTTTATGGTGTTAAATATAAAACCTATTCTGGGTTGTAAATAAGTTATTCTAAAGCATTTTAAATCGCGCCGAACAAATTACAATATATATCACACTATGAAATTTAAAAAATAACTAAGCAAAATTTTAATTAAAATAAATAAATAAATCATCTCAAAATGCTCAAAGCGCCTAAAGAAGTTTTCACTAAGAAAAGCTGAGCAAAATGTACACAAAAATAATGAATAAAAAAACAAAAATATAATATAATTATATGTCTGTCGGCTTCGAACTCAAAACCTCTTTACCTCTTTCTTCATCTCGAAGGAGCCTTTGTTGCATTATACCGAGCCACTAATACCAAGTTGGGCAAAATTTAAATACACATACTTTGCCCCACCGGGATTCGAACCCGGTTTCTCACCACGGATAGGGTTATTAGGCGCCGTAATAGAGTTTTCAACGATTTTACCCTAAAAAGATAGGTTAGGAATCGCGCCCTACGCATGAGTGCGCCATACCGACAACTACTTTTTATTCCGCTAGGGCCTTTTAAGTGTCGCATCCTCAACCGTCCCAGTGATGTCATACCGTTCCGTAGTATGTAAATGCGGTACGTGGATTGTTTCATTCGCTGAATCGCAGCGGTTTCGGTAAATTTTAATGACATGTTGCGTCGCACTGCGGAAAGCTGGGCCTCTTTACCATACTGTACATACTTGTTGGTAAGGTACGCTCGCATATCATATGTCCTGACTATTTACATAGAAGCCGCGATGAGGCCGCGCCTTAAGGACGCCTAGCTTATGATTGAAAAGTATTTGGTCCCCACCCATAATGATAGGGAAGCCTAGAGCATAGTAGGGAAGTGAAACAAAAATATAACAGACGAGCGGACCATTTTATTGCTTCATGAATACCTAATTATGCAAAATTAAAATGATACATCTTATTTTTAAAATAACAGAATACACGTAAATTACTATCAAAATTAAAAACATAACATAGCGAAAAGTTGACAATTAACTGGTTAATTCCAGTATCTATCTCGTGTAATCTGACACATCCGATAAAACAAAATACACCCCTACCCCCGCAACCTTACAATTACATCAAATGATTCTGTCAATCATCTACTACAATGCTAAAAAAGGCTTTTCGTTAGAGTCCTATCTACCATTAAAGCACTAAAATTTTACAGAACCTTAAACTATGATATATTGCCATGATCACGGATTAACTCGTGATTATGGCGCTTGCAACAGTGCCGAAATATCAGAGACTCACAAAAAACAAGGTACATGGTAGCAATCCCGCTAATAACTTTAATTTAAAACTACGAGTTCGAAATCTGCATTCACCGTATAAACTACAAAAGAACTAAGTAGAGTAGAGTGTTTGAGATTATTAACGAATCACACATCCGCCGCTGCACTCGGAGGCGGTTCACAAATCCACACTACGAGTTAATTAACAAGCTTCTCGCCTCGAGTGCCAGATTAAACGATTGAACATTAAGTAGGTAATTACGGATTCATAAGTAGTATTTAATATGAGCCACTCATTGCTCCATCTCAACGTTCGTACGTGTAAATGCATTTAATTAAATGGGTATTATGTGTTTTTCACAGGGAAAATGAGGAGGGTGTTTGGAATTTTTAATGAGTTCAATAGAGTAGATGATGCAATGACAATCGTACCATAGTCCTTTAATAATGCAATGTTTGTTCATTTTTAAAGTAAGCAGTACAAGATAAAGAATCTTTTTTGTTCACCAGGTATACAATAACAATAAAAGAATATTCTACCTAAAAATTAAATTGCTTTGTTTAAAATATAAAAAGAATGCGGAAAAAAACAATGTCAATAAAAATAGTACATTACTGCAGCGGCCAGCAAAAGCCGAGGCACACATACGTAAGTCCACCAATGCCTAGTTGTGGCCAAGTACTTTTATAGTACTTTTCTCCAATAGTGCGCGGAAATTAAAATCAAGTAGAACCTAGACAGAAAATTCGAAATTATGGAATATTAATAACGAAAAACAATATTTTTCCCCGTCTTAAAGTGTTCATTGATGTATTTTTATAAACAGCTCTCTATTTTGAAATACAGTTTAAAAGAATAAAACCTTTGATAAGTTACCTCCTTCGTTGCTATGGTAAGGAGTAAACGTTCCATTTTTAAATTAAACGAAAGATATGTAATTTATTTGGCCACTAAACACGACAAATTTTCATACAAATTTTGCCAGCTGCTGCTCTCTAGTATGTGGCCAGTGCAGCAATTTCGATATATCAAGAATGTTTGAGAAAATAGGCTTATCTTGCTAACAGTACGATATTTTCGAAAAATCGTTTATTTGCAGCATTGTCTCAAATACGTCGAGTGGTTAAATAAGCTCGCAAAAGTTCCGGCCGGAAAAGGTTTTAATAGTTTTTTGCGCGGCATATTTGCAGATAATTAAAGACTGAAAATAGAGGAGTGTGCCCGTAATGGCGCAGCTTTAAACTAACGTCCAACTTTCAACCAGCAAAAAGTTTGCTATAAAATGCACCGAGACGAAACTTCTCTTCAATTCTAGAGGTTTAATTATAAAATGGATATATATATTTTAATTTTACGTTATATTGAAAATTGGGTTATCTGTAGGGTTACTCAATATATCTGGCTCTAATTTACTTAATTGGTGGTTACTAACTAACAAAGAAAACTAGACACATAAAATATATTAAGCCATGTCCCTGCGGGCTTTGTGTCGCTAATCTAAAAAGTACCAAAAGTGCTAGAATTAATAAAAATTTAGACCAACGTGACATCACAACACGACAACTTTGATACAGCTGTGCTATTCTGGAAGAACAAAGTCCCTTTTAATCACGGAATTCGCCGGTGTGATTTGAAACTTACTTAAAATTCGTGTTCTCATTTTAAATCACACCGCGGATTCCGAGGTGAAAAGCGAGTTTGTTCTTCAGTAAAGCACTGCAGTTATCAAACACAAAAGAATAAGACTTTGACGGAGGGAAGACCGATATGCGTGTCAATAACATTTCACTCGCAGCCTCTTCAGTTAATCGTGGCACTTGCAACAGTGCTGAAATATCTGGGACTAATTAAAAACAAGACACCCGGCAGCAATCCCGTTCACAGTAAAATTTAAAACAATATATAATCATCATCATCACCAGCATATTAATGTCTCCACTGCTGGGGCACAGGCATTCCCTATGGTTGGAATAGGGATTGGAATGTTGCAGGTTGGTGGGTGCTCATGACTGCAGATGCAACCGGGACCAACGGCTTCACGTGCTTTCCTCAGCACGGAGAAGCACGAGATAACAAGTTTTTGGTCACCCATCCAATGACCGACCATTGCGAAAGTTGCTTAACTTCCATGATCGCAGACCGAACGCGCTATCCATCAACACCATCGAGCTCCTAGAAAAACAATTAATCGGTATATGGTAAAATTTCATCAGTATGTGCGTTAAAAAAATTCATTATGGCTAGATTGTTAACTAAAAAGTCAGCACAAAAGAGCGCAGCAATCGTTGCGCGACTGTCTCACGCCTGAATGGACACTCTGCGGTGGCTGTACCCACCTACTCTGACCGAGATAATGCCGGCGACCCGTCCCTGATTACTTCACATTCACATCTTGTGACTCGGCTCATCGCTCGATGTCGGAAATGGCTGCTTTTAAAAATCTGTCTCTCTAAGGTCTGTGTCAACACTTAGTAACTACATGCTTATAACAAAAGTTTCTGGATACAATAATGCTGTCTTCAAAATTACTTTAAGAGAGGTAGGGTAGAGGTAGCAGATTTCCGGCTTGAAATGGATTGCTCGTCTGGCGAAGTAATCTCCACCTTACAGTAAACCACTATAAAATAACACTACCGTGGTGTTGTGTCTTTCACGTTGAGTAAGGTTCCAGGGATCCACGGAGTAGGAGATTGGATCGGGGTAGGCAAAGGCGCGGGTGATATTTTTGTATCGCAAGCGTCTATAGGCTACGGTGGTCGCTTAAAATCAGGCGAGCCTTACGCTTATTTGCCACCTCTTAAACAAAAAAATATATAAATAAAGGTTAGAAGGAGCAGTGGTTAGTAAAATATTAAAGCAGAATCACACGGCATTATCGGTGTACGTAGTACGAACCGCAGTGCGACGCAACACATCACCGAAATTTACTACGATCTTGAACGCACGCTTCAAATTTACTCGCACACTATTCCGAAACCGAGAATGTATTCAATTAGGATGTACAAACATTAACCCTTGCCGCTGCCGAGATAGAGTTTAATCTAGGATTCTACGAAAATTTATTAAATGACGACGTGAGCGAAAGACATAAATGGGGTTTTATACGTACTATGGCTGTGTACTGAACGTCTTTTCCGGCTAATTCATATAGATTCTGTATAATGATGAATTACTTCATTAACTGTTTTTCTCGGGGCAATTTTGTCTAGCTTTTGCTTCCAGTTCGTTTGAACCCAAGCACGCCTCTGTAGCTCTGTGAGAGCCTGAGTTAGACTCCGCGGGGTGAGGGTCTCGGGGGGGAATCAGGGGGAATGGGAGAGGGCTGTAGAAGGAACCCCTCTACCTCACCTCATACACGCTGCGGAACGTTGAACTAACTCGTGACAACGTGACATGACGTCAGACTTTTTCGTGCATGCAGCCGATGTTCATCTATTTATAAGACGTTATTACGTCAAAAATGGATCGTTGCGAAACGCCTGGCAGAAGTGAAACGTCTATTCTTTTTTTAAGAAAAAAATACAAAATAATTCTGTATATAAAATAATGTAATAAAAGAAATAAATAATGTTTAGAACCGCACAAGTAGGTAGTAAATACTATTTAATTAAATGATTAGTTCCTCCTACAATACTTTTTACAAATATCCTATTCGGTACTTTCGCAACTGGAATATTCTATTTTGATTTTATCATACTAGTGGTCTGATAATGTTTTTCTAGTGATTTCTTTAGGTCTACTTTTCATATTTTATTTGCTTCCCGATAAAAAAAATGCTTTACGTAATATTAGAAACAATTCAAGTGCCACAGTGTAACAAAAGATATAGCAGTCGTATAATTTATAGCTCAGAATTGAAAAATTAGACATGAGAGTAATTAAAGATCGTTATGAATGAAGCCAAAAAACAAAAGGAGCTACGTTCGAGATTTCTCCAGAGGCGATACGCAAACGCGAACACATTAAGTGAAGTCAGTTCACCGACAAATATCCACAACCACAGCCATTTTCCCGAATTCAATTCCCCCTTTTATAAAGGCGTCAATAAATTTCTCATAATGTTACCGCCGCCATCTCGTTACATCTACGGCGAGAAACAATAAACTCGCTTCGCGAAGATAATTTTGCTAAATTCCTATCCATTTGCATGTTGTTCCGAAATGAACTGTAGGTATTCTGGTTTTTACATAACGTTAAATTTAGTATAGTTACAATTATAAATCATTATAATATTAGGATTCTTAAATTAAAAGGTAGAAATTTTTGAATTTTAGACGTTTTCGGAATAGACAGTAGTAGGTAATGAAAAAAAATGACGGGTTGCACTCCGGAAGTGCCGGCAGAAGTGAAAACTTGAATATTAATGTTGTGCATTTTTGATATTTTGGAATGGTTAGGGAATAATTTTGCACGAATTGTTTTAATTATCAGTATAAAAGTACTATTATTTATGTGGTAGAATACAATATTTATTTATTGCAAACATGACAATTTATATTACATTAAAAAAGTTTATCTCTCAGAAAAATCAACTTACATGAACCACGTTTAAGCGCACTTAGCGTCATCTATTGTAAAAAAATCAACTAACATGAATCACATTTAAACGCACCTAGCGACATCTACTTTGAAAAAAATGCATTTTCTTCGCAATAAAGCTGCCACCTGGACGTCCTAGATAGAGACTTATTATTATAATACGATAAAATAAAATATTACTATGCTTCGTCCAATATATTAAAAGTCAACAACCTTTCCAATTTTATTGTTTTCGTCAGAGCCCCGATCAAGCCACGTGTCACGACGCGGTCAGACCACGTGTCCTGACGCGAATTTAACATTTTTTACCCATACAAAAAAGGGTACAACGCCGCTAAAGAAGTTTTCACTTCAAAAATATCTAGAATTTTTATCAGGCTTTGCTATCCTTTTGCTCACATTTTCTTAACTAGTTATTAGATGAGCCAGCGTAGTTTATGCGCTTTTATTTCGCCAATGATATTAGGCTCAGCACCTAGATTTTGAATTTCCCTATTTTCTCTTTCTCCATATTCCCTTAGCTGTGTGAATCGGACGATCTAGAATCATTCTCAGCACCTTCCTCTCTGTTATCAATATCTTTTCTTCTTCTTTTAGATTCAGTGTCAAGTCATGAATAGTGGATCATCACGACAAGAACGTGCGAAAAAAGTCATGGTCAAAGGCCGATCAGGCTTCATAGACTCTGGCGGATCCCGGGTTAACTCGTTAAAAGGTGATGCTGTGTGTATGGTGGGATTGGAAAGGCATTATTCATTATGAGCTGTTACCACCAGACAGGACCATCGATTCTGAACTCTACTACGCACAACTGATGAGATGAAAGCAAGAAGTTGAGAGAAAGCAATCGGAATTATTCAACAGAAAGGTTGTGGTTTTTTCATCATGATATTGCTAGAACTCACACATCTTTAACTACTCGGCAAAAATTGACAGGGAGATGTTTATGCATCCGCCAGTCCTGACATTACTCCTTCAGATTTCCACCTGTTTCGATCTTTTCAGAATCCTTTAGGCAGTGTTAGGTTAATATCAAGAGAGGACTGCAACAGCGATATTTTGAACAGAAGCTCCAAAATTTCTATAGCAATGGTATGTCCCTAACTACAAGATGGAAAAAAGTTATCGATCAAAATGGCACCTACATACTTTAGTTAAATGTAAATAAACTTTACTAAAATATGTTTTGAATTTTCATATAAAATGCACGAAACTTAAAGGCTTTTATTTAACTTACAATGTATAGTATGTATGTATGTTTGTTTGTTCGGTGGAATCTTGCAATTTTTTTTTTTTTTTTTTTTATAGATAGGTCCGACAAATGACTCCACCCCACCTGATGTTAAGTGGAGGTGAAGTCCAGACGCGAAGAT